ATGCAACGTCGGCATTCGACGAGTTTGCCAAGTGCATGGTATCTGCAGCATTTCTAAATCGACAGTAATCAGAACCAAATTTAGTGTAAAAATTTCAAATTATGGTGTGATAATTAAGGTCACTTAGCCCCTGTATGCCATTTAATCAGTTGCAGAACATATCAGCAGCGTTATTCAAGAACCTTACTTGTTAACATGGTATCACAGGCTGTACCCTATGTTTTCTGATGCTGTGCGTGATTCATCAACAGAAACTGTCAGGCATAAACTATCATTGCTCTCTCCTACAATTGCTAATTCGACAGAGCCGAAAGGACCCACAGCTTTTAACCCTGGTTATATAACGCACACTTCCCAAAGGCTGCCAGTCGGTAGAGCGTCGATCTCTGAACCCAGAGATTACTGCGTACCAGTTCCGGTATGGTCATTCGCATTGCTCCACTCCAAAATAAATGGTGGAGTGGAGTGAAAATAACGAATTTTCATGACATATAAATGAGTACCACTCCATGCGATGGAAACAGGAGACTACACGCCGTGCTTGCCGAACAGCTGTACAATCCGCCTTCAGTAAAACAAAGAATTTATGGTTGATGGCAAATAAACGAAGATCAGCGCCACCATAAGCTTCATGAACTGAAGGCAACAAAACTAGTCGTTAGTAATGAAAGTGTAAGAATGAACATTTGTCGGCTGGGACAAATTTTACTATAATCAATGCCAAATAAGCCGTTAATATTCTGATGTTCGTGATATAGTAAGGGTACGGGAGAAGGATTCAGACAACTAATTTAATCACCTAAGTTAAAGCATCCAGCACAATAAGACAATGAAATATCGACCAGTGCCGTGAATAATGCTATAAGTACGTACATATTAAGAACGAGAAATGGAAAGTCATATCCCGGTGGTAAAGAACTCTTTCGGTTGAGAAATTCGTACTTAGTACTAGGAGAAGGACTAAAACTAGGAGATGGGTACCTGTTAGGAAAGGAATCACGCTTTTTCTTCAGTTCTATTACAACATCCTATTTTTCATACCTCCCGCTACAATCGGAAGTGCTTCCTTTCAAATTTAAATTAATCATAAATATATGTATGGAGCGTAATCAACTATAGGGAGTTTCTCCACTGAATAATAAGGTGGCTGTCTAGTCTTGAATAATAGCGTCGTTAATTTGCAACTGCAAAATGAAATTTTCCAACAACCATGGCCACAAAAACGAACATGACAAATACATCTCAGTTTCTTCTTCGGAACATAAAATTTCGACATTTCTTTGCCGTCAAAAATTTCTTCAACTATTCTGCGCTGTCCATCCTTTCCATTAATGTTTATAACAGTAATGACACCCACGAAAGCTCCCCTAGAGAAACTTTCCAGTGCTGAACCTAGCTTATTCCTTAGATAAACATGAACAAATTTAACCGTTTTAATAATCAACACGTTTATTTATGAATTTATCCCTAACTGTCCGGGCTCAAGTCCAAATCGTAGAAGAGAAATGGAGGTAAAGAAATTGGATGGAACATAAATGACGTATACAGCATAATATTTTTCCAGAAAACCATGGCCATCGCGAAGGTATGCCACAGACTGTGAGAGGATAACCCACGTTACATTAGAGTAACCCAAATAAAAAGGTAGAGAGAAAATATGCCCTACAATCGACTTTTCTCATGAAATGAGAGAAGTGAAGTATTTTCATGTAGTCGGCCTTCTGAACAGATCATGGCATCAAAGATGATACATCAAACACAGAGGATCTGTTGTAATACAAACTAATTCATTAATTTCTCCATGATCAAACTCAGATAGCCAGGTGGCCTGAAAGCAGCGACAAACTTCATTTCGCACAGCATAGCTAAATACTGAAATTCAAAAGGGTTCAATGTGATTATTAAAAAAAAAACACGGTTTTCTGTCTACAGTAATTTGCCGAAAATGATGCAGAGATATTAAATCACTAATTTTAGGCCATTCATAATTCTGCGATTGAAAGATTTACAAAGTTACGCGCCTTTTATGTGCTTTAATTTGTACATGCATCAACGGCCTTGTATTAAGCCCCAGCAATGACAGTCAAACGCTAATTTGCAAACACAGCGATCGTTTATAAAAAAAGCTTTTTACTTTGGTGTTGGCTTTACTTCAGTAGTCTTCAGTTTTTTGGGCAAGATGGGTATCACAAAGCCATCGCCGTCCCGTTTCGTACGCTGACTTGTGTCCATGGTATCCGGGATGCCACCTAGGGGAACAGCAGCTTTGTCGGAAGATACTAAACGGCGGTTCTTGCTGGCGTTGATGGATTTTCTGGAGTCACGTCTTTCGCTACCATTGTGAGCATCAATTGTAGCTGTTCTGTCGGAATTTCTCCCTTCCCGCTGCATTCTTCTGTTCGATTTGTTGGCTCTTGCATTCTAAATGATACCTGTACAAAGGTATGCAAGTTAAACATTTCTTTATGGGAAACAATCCCATTTTTTATGTCACAAAAAGGGAAACCACCCAAAAACATTCAACTTCCAAAAATTTTATTCAAACAGCCTATGCCTCGGACGAGATCGGTTCGTCTCCAAAGAAAAAATCATCTAATTACTTGTTGCGCTGAAGACAAGATGACCAGCATGAAAACCGAAACAGCAGTCGTTTGAGTAAAATATTTTCCTTTAATTTACAGGGTTACGCCCTCGCAGGCTATATGATTATAAAATAAAAGTACGTGATTTATTCAGCAAAATCATTTTAACGATTGCACAAAAGAAATTAAAACAGTAATTAAATTTACTTAAGGCAACTCTGATCAATCAACTTGCAACCGCCTAACTGCAACACACGAAACTGATTGGGAGGGGACAGTAATCCAATCAAAACGGTTTACCTTGCACTTCAGAACTGCTGGTTTGAAATGATAATTCCTGTAACCGAGGAATTCGCTTCACTAGCGACAAACGGCTAGCAAGCTGTTGAAATGTAGAGATTTTGGGCAACCTGCTGATCTGATGTGGTCCTGCCAACGTAGAGGTTTGTATGATCATACTGTATGATACAATTCCCACCTAACTAACATACAGACTTGTCTTGTTGGATGTCGCGGGTTACTGCATTTCGGCTCTTCTTGTCATCATTTCCCCTCGTTGCCCGTGTGCTGTATAACCTCCGTTATGATCGCAGGCCAATCCTTAGCAGCTTGTCGATAAGTGCGGCCCAGTTCCGTTGTAGTCATTTATATTCCCACTCAAAGGCTGATTAAAATCAATAAAAATATCAACTGCATATTTAAAATAATTTATTACTGTTTTATAGAACTTGTTCTGCTGATTCAATTTTTAGGAATTTGCAGCCCGAAGTCTCAACTCCTCAAATAAGTGCTCATCATTAAATTCAGCGGCACCGCGTATAAAAGAAGACTGCATCATATCTCCTGAAGGTCTCAAAGTCTACTAAAAGGGCATAAATCAGAAGGTTCGATACAGATTGCTATCTATGCCATGAATATTGCTAAGAAAGATTCTGCAGATCCTCAGCACTGAATGCACATAGATATTACGGCACGTCTTTCCTTAACATCAGCAAGGAGGAATGAATTTTAGGTTTATTCGACGCGAAGAATATCTTTCCCTAAATCATTTGAACCTTTCATCATGCGGGAAACTTGAAAAAAAAACAAAAACAACAAACAAAAACTACAAACAAAAACAAACTTGAAATGAGAGTATGATCTGTTAAACACAGAACTGACATTCTTTGAATCATGGATACTTCACTGACTCTCAAAAAGTCATAACCCCCTTCTCATTTTTCAGCAGCCCTGGGGGTTATCTTTCAAATGCGTGATTTTTACAACCATTTACCTGTTCTTTTATCTTCGTTTTCCATTATGCTCATTTTTAGGCATGACTTTTGTTTTATTCTCCACCTCTTCCATATTATGCCTTTCATCAGATCTTTCCTTGACCCAGTCTCCTAATTCTACGATGTCACTCTTCCATGTTTCCATGTTCTCGTTCTCTCTGAACTTGGCCATTGGCCCATTTTTCTTGCACTCCGAAAATTTTCTTTCCTTTCTTTAATAATAACAGTACAAGTCAACCAGAAAATTAACTCTTCTATTATCAGAGACGCAGCATCACATGGAATATTTTCAGGGAAAATCTTTACGATCTCTAAAACTACAGCCAGTTTCCTCCGATTTGCCAGCATTAACTATCAATACGCTGCTAATCGCCCGTTTCAGAATTTATGACAGACCTCCATGAGAGTATGTAGCAATCTATGAATGCCATCCAATACCCGGCCAGTATATAGCACGTTATATTGTCTGTATCAGGGATGTATAATAAGATTAATTCGCTTCAATGGCTACAGTAGTATTTCTGAACCATTAAACTATCATATAACCAGGCATGATCAATAAGCTTTATTTAAGAAAACTTTAAAAAAAACTGCTGTGAAACAAATGGAACAAGAAGTTTTTCTACATGGTGATTTAAATGAGGTCTTCGTAATGCCTTCATTCATTATATTAACAGACTCACCGTGAAAAGACTGCCATATATGTTCAATTGAAATGAATGCACAAATTATTTATTTCACATGAATGACACCTTACCGTCTGGGCCTGGCGTTGGTGAAGTCGTTCCATGTAGTGTTCCACTTTCTTCCTAGCAAAATCCAAGTCTTGCAGTGTACCCTCCTCTCTTTCAAACTGAATCCAGCATTGAAACAAAGCTTCGGGAAAGTCAGACACAGAATTAGCGGCTTTTTGGTAGAGCCTGCGCGCAGACTGCGTGTTTCCGAACTGTCGTTCCAAAGCAATATATTCCAACCATACATTAGCGAAACGACAGTTACCTTCCTTTAGTATCGAGTCCCACAATTCCCTGAAAAGTTCAATGTTGTGACGGGCCTCAAATCGTGCCCAGCATTTCCGGTAATAAAACTCCGGATCCCAGCAGTCGCCACCGAACTTCTCCTTCAGAAACGCGGCCCCTTCGCAAAAAATCTATACATAATACATGTCTATTAAACAAACTCAAAACAGCATTCCTTACTTTTTGCACCTCCGCGGTCACTTCATTACCAGACATCCCTTGTCTTCGACGACATTGGTATGCGTACTGTAACCACAACTCCGCCGCTTCACTGACGCTGCTGAAACCAGCCTCTAACGCACATTTCATCACCTTTTCGATCTGCTCCCACAGCAGACCAAAACGTTCACAGGACATTGCATACTCCTGCCATAACACTGTTGTCCATGGACAGTTTCGGACTGCGCGTTCGTAGACACTCAGACTGACGTTTGAGTCTTTTAGCTCACTGAAATAAAAAACTAAATTACCCAATATTTCTGGCGCCTATAAAAAAACTAAGGCTTTCTAAATATCTTGAGCACAAAATTTGAATGGTTGAAAGAAATACAACGGACCAAAACAATGTCTTTTAGCACCTTTAATGAGATCTTGAGATCGATGACAAGATGAGCGAAAGAAGTCTGCGGGATCAAGATGAACAAACATGGCATAAAAGAGAAACAGACATCTACGGTAAAATCTCGTAGAGAACATCATCTAACAGTAGATAGATAAAGGCCGATATTGATGCTATACTCTACTGCATAGTATATTATGCTTTAAACACTGTCTTGCATATTGCATGATATATTGCAATGAAAGCACACCTTACTGCTATGTACCATGTACACTACTGACAAACATACCTGGTATTACACTGTATAGTATCATATAAAAGGAGTAAGGGTTCTTAAAAGAACGTAGCAATGAACAGGTTAACTCTAGCAAATAAAATGATAGAAGGTGCATGTAGTTCTGCAGGTAGTCAAATGCCGTAAATCCATGGCATGATCAAGAAACATTGTTCAGATATCCAGAAGCGAAGGGCAGTGCAACAAATCCCAAATTTTGCGTTAACTAAGTTAAGCGCTTGCAAACACTCTGCAGCATTCAAACCTTCTATTTGAAGCATACTTTAGTATATGTTTGGTAGCAAAAGAACGGACTGTATAGCTGATTTCCAAAAGAGCGGTGAAAAATTCACTGCTCCCCTATTCGCACAAAAAAATTCGCCATACCAGTGCTTCAACACCACAACAGGCAGGTTACTTCCCGAGAGTGCGAAGATAAGTTAAGTTAGATTGTATCAGCCGCATGGTCAGCCAATCCAAACCTTACCTACTGGCGGTCACGGGAATTCGCAGCTTCGAGAAGAAGGCATTAAGCATAGAGAATGGGGGCGTTGGGTCATTAATGCTGTCAGACCACAGCAGATCAGTCTTATCGGTGTGTATGTCCTTGTTTCGGAGGGGAAAGCGTGCATTTATTGAACCTGGACAGATACCGGAGAGAATAGTAGTCTGTTGTGTAGCAGAATAACAGTGTAGCCCTTATCCTAACAAACACGCAGTGCGAGAGTAATAAATACATTTTATGACTGCCTGCAGTCAGTTTTGTCGTGAAAACTGTCACAAGCATTACAGATGCCGAAACGTCGGTGTCATCATACACTGACTGGAAGATTTGCAGAAAACTGGTTATCGATCCCATACGTTTATAGGCACACCCATAGATTGTTGCGCTGGATCCGGTAATAGGCTATCTTTAAGTCCATA